ATGCTACGTTAAATGAAATGATGGCTATTCAGTGAACATCTAAACTCATTTCCAAATAAGATGAACATTAAATGTGAAACATAAGTTTATCTACTTTTGGTTTTTTAATTTTTACAGAGAGAAAGTAATATGTGGGTCTATTGATAACCACGGAAAAAAATTATTATGAGAAAGAATATAGTTCCAATAATTTTGAAATGTATTTATCAGTTTGCTGATCTACCACAGGATGCTGATATACGATAGACAGGTCACGGTGGCCTGCTTCCCAGGTTTCCCTGGAAAGCAAAAATTACAAATAGTTCAAAAAGTTGGGAGAAGGGCTGCGACCGCAAAATGAACCGAGAAGAGAGTAAGTCAGAGCACTTGGAACAAGAAGCGTAAGCTAACTGCGCACAAGCCCTGCACGGTTCCGGGGAGTGGGGAGCGCAGGCGCCCCTGTGCAGGGTGAGATGCAATGGGCTCCCAGGCGAGCTTCTTCCTGCTGCGCTAGGATTTACTGGAACTTCCTGTTTCTCAGACTGGGCTCCCAGACCCTTGGGGAGTGAGCATTAGCATTTATTTAAATCGAAAATACACGTATTATCTACATCTATCTAGATAAATGGATACTATGTCTCTTCAATTTTATCTATCATTTATAGTTGGATTTATTATCTGCATACAGATAAAAGGATAATTTCATAAAGTGCAAAAGAGAGTGCATGCATAGCATATACTCAACATAGGAAATACGGGCCAGTTGATGAAACTTTTATTTCAGTTACTTACATGGTTTTATCGGTGTTAAGTAGGTGCTGGGCCGTAATATACACTCTCTTTCTTGCTGTGGAATGATCCAACGTGTTCGAAAGCCACCGCTCTTCCACCACAGTAAACTGAGCAACGGAAGGGTCTGTGTGGCCGGCTAAAAAGGCCACTGCAAGAAACACCACCCTTGGAAAAAAAAAAAAAAAAAGAAAGAAAAAGAAAAGGAGAAAAAGAACAAAAGGGGGGGAAAGAAGAAAAAAAATTATCTAAAAGCACTTCCCCCATTTCCTGTAACTGCTTGCAAGGCTGGGAATTCTGATGGCGGCTTCCCAGCAATTTACAGCTGTGCCATCAGTTTGGACCTTGCTGTTCCATCTTTCGAATTTGTATTCTGTCTGCTCAGCTTAGAGCAAGCGCCTTCAGCAATAACGTGGGGATCCTGTTGCCCTGCCTGTCGTATCGTCCGCAGTCTCACAGAGCAATGTCAGCATGAGCCCGGAGGAGACACGAGTGAATCTCATGCTGTAATTTACAGAAAGCATATGGTTTGTTTCAAGTGTACTATACAGAAGGGATGTATATTCACTGAACGTGGTGCAGAGGCGACTGTGCCGTCCTCCCTGAATACATCTGTGATTATTCCTTAGCGCCGGCCTTGGGCCATTTCTTTCCTAGATAAGCTTTGTAAGTTTTTGAAATCGAGAAAATAACATTTGAACTAATAAAGTGGAAGTTGTCAGAAAAAAGAGGGTTTTGTTTGCTTGCTTTTAGTTTTTTTGTTTGTTTGTTTTGTTTTTGATTTTACAAAACTACTAGAAATAACAAGGACGAAAGGGACTGCATATGAAAAGGAGGAGGTGTGTTTTGGGTAAAAGAAGGTATGAGGGATGGAGATGCATTTTTGGTAAGGGGGGAAAAAAGAAAGTAATTTCATCCTAAAGGAAAATCATTGTTCCAGAATAAGAAAGAGAAAAGGACAAAACCCAAATGGATACAGAAAGTTGTAGAAGGCTTGCGGAAAAGGGCTCTTGAGAAAGGAATCTTATGTGTGGCTAAGCAGACTGACATTAAAATGGATTTATTTATATTAAAAAGAAAAAAGGGAAGACTTTTAATATCAAAAGTGCAGTGGTGCACAATTAGAATTTGGTTTTCTCTCTGTTAAAAGGACAAAGTGTTCTTAGATTATTGGTCTGCTCTTACTAAGCAATTGCAAACAAAGGTTTTTCTTTACCTTTCATGTAATCTGCCCAGAAAACAAAGATTCTGTGTTTTGTCTTCATCAGGTTACTTAAGCAAATTGTCTTCTTCATGTAAAAAGCTAAGTTTTTTTTCCAACTAACTTTTTAATGGTATGTTAAATTTCACGGGAAGCATTTTCAAATAAGAAGCCATGCTAAACTTTCTTTAGGAAATATTTATATGGAAGTTATTAATATAAATGTTCCAGAAAGTATATGAAGTTCATGGGGATCTGATGTACTGACACAGTGTTATCAGTCATAATTCCAGCTATTGTCTTAAAATACGGTATGTCAGAGAAATAACCAAATTTTCTTGTCAATTGCATCATAATGACTTCTCATCTGATCTTTAACCATTGCCACTTTTTAAGCCTTTTACCATTTACAGATAGTTACTGTTTTATTCTGATGCTGTTGCAAAAATGTTCCTGCAAAAATGCTTTATCTTTGAGGAGATTCACAAAAAAGACCCCCTCCCCCCACACACAAAGTACTCTGTAGAATACAGGTTTCTGATGACTTTAAGATCATAACACGGAACTGGGTAAGAATTTCTAAAACTTTCATGGAAAAGTGATGAATTGATCCAACTAACAAAAGATCGAGATCAACAAGAATTAATTACAGGAGACCAAATGAATTAATGAAGATGATTAGAATTTTTGTGACTTCATTTAAAATACTGCTGGTTCTTTAATGTTTTGTTTGCAGATTTAAAAGGATCTGAAAGAACATGATCTATCACTATTCCTGCTGCACTTACATAAATAATCAGGCCAAGCTTATTAAAAGTCAACTTAATTTGCAAAACAATTTAGTCTTGCCATGGTTGTCTTTGATGGAAATGGAAATGATTATGGAGAGAAATTTATGTTTCAGTAATACACCCCTGTGGATATTAGATTCTAGTGCTGTTAATCATCTCTGAGGTTTATTTTCTACTTGTAAACTGGACTGGATCCCAAGTTCTAGCTTCCTCCAATATTTGGCTAAAACTCTCCAGACTAGTTAGGTTAAAACCTAACAATGTGGCCGGTCGTGTGGTCATCATTATTTTTAAAAGTCTTTATCAAAGGCAACGGAAGGGTCTGTGTGGCCGGCTGAAAAGGCCAATTTTCTCCCACTACTTTCACTTGGAATCACTATGAAATTAAACCTGCCTTCCCCCACCCCCCACCCCGAAGCCATGCAAGCTGAAACTGGACAACTTGATATAAACTTCAAAGAAATCCCAGCAGCCCATGTGCCGACAATCTTTGTACCTGCTCGGAAATATCACCGGGGACATTCACACTGCAAACACGAAAATCTGATTGCTTGACTGCACTGCTTGCATTCTATCTAAAGATGCTTAGAATCCGACTTTTAGAAATCTTCTCAACCGACTGCTCTCCAAACTCAGAAAACGGAATTTCTAATTTGCTTGAACTCTACATCTTTGTTTTTCTTTTGTTTCCATAGAAATGCCTCTCATTAAATTACCTGATTGCTCACATCATATAGATGCCGAAGCCCATGCGTAAGGCCACTTCCTGAAATACAACATTCTCAAGTTCATCCTGCCTCGGGTCATCGTGAGGATATGTGTTTGCTAATACATCACGTTATGCCTATGTAAATAACTTAAAATTTTTTTTTTGGCAGATTGACTTAGTAAAGTAAAATCTGGATCTGATTACAACCCATTGGATTTATTTGGTTAGTTAAACCTTGGCTCCTGGGTATCTCTGCTCTGGGGAAGTTTTCAATGCTTGGCTATTGTTTTCCCTACAATCATCATATTGGCCTTTCTTGTGCTTTGTAGACTCTCGAAGCTTTTAAATGCCTGTTGGCAGCCAATCACATGGCAGATGGCATCCATCAAGAGCAGGCAACTGGATGAAAGCAACAACCACCACATGAATGATGAAGATAGTGACTACATGGCCCTCTGGCCTGATGACTCAACTAATGGAAACAGCAAATGTGTGATCTTCCAGCCTGACTAGTCACCAACCATGGTAGTGGAGAATAACGCCCGTAATAGCTGGTCATACTCTGAGCCTGCTGAGCTATGACCCAAAGCAGGGGAAACCGTTAAAATTTAGAAACAAAGGGAGACCAACCTTGAAGGGTCGCTGAGCAGACAGAAGCAGTTTGGTCATGCTGGCGAAGCTTAATTTGGCTTATCCTGCAAGGCTAACTGGACCTGGTCGTTTCTTGCTTGTGTCTCTGGAAATGATAAGCAAAACTTGAACTGCTTCCCAAGGTTGATATGACCGGTAACCACTGAAAATTATAATATTGTAACTAATCACTGTGAAGAATAAACAGTCACAGCTTTGTCACTGGATAAGCTGCTTTATAACCACGCAGCCCTGAGCCTCATTCCATGTTTTGGCTTGAATGCTCCCGGTTTGCAAACTTTCTGGGGCCTGCACAGTAATTTTTTTACTGACTGCTACTTCAGTGATTCATTTGGTTTTCTTTTGGCTATTTTGAACTTTTGACAGAAGTTATGTCATTCTGTTCAAAATGACATGGCCGTGTTAGGCCTTTTCTGAACCGCCTGTTTGCTGTAATGTTCTTTACACTTGAGCAATCCCCTCCAAAAGAGAAGGTGAAACCAACCTATTGGCAAAAAAAAAAAAAAAAAAATCGCCCCACAATGAGGAAGGTCCCTTTACTCGATTCATTTCTGCCCAGCCGGAACACCACCGAGCAAGTCATTTCAAAGACCGCAGGAGGCCATCTTACAGACCCCCGCCCTCCCCACGGCCCGGTGAGTCCGGGCGCTCTGTCGCAGTAGCCGGTGCAGCCCGGCCTCTCGGGGCAGGGCGTCCCGTGTCGCGGCCGCTAGGTTCCCCTCTGGCCGGGTGTAGGAGGCGAACAAGACCGGCGTGGCGGGCATCCAGAGCCCAGACGTGACCCAGCTGCCTGGGCCGGACTGAGTGGCTGGGCCCAGCACGTGACCACCCAGCCCGGCTCCGCGGGGGGTGGGGGTGGGGCCTCCCTGGGCGCCGGAGGATGAAATCGACATTTGCCTGGGGCAGGAGTGAGCCTGTCAGATTCCGTCTCCATTAGACCCTCCACCCACGGGAGCGGGGGATTGCGCCAGCATTTTATTTATTTATTTATTTATTTATTTATTTATTTATTTAGGTATCTCCGGAACCAGAAAGCAAAAGGTAAGTTACTTATCACCTAGAAAAATAAGCTTCAGAGGAGTGACTAGAAAACCACACGACCGGCCACATTGTTGGGTTTTAAAATCCGGTGCAGAAAATTATAGATCGTGGTGAGGGGCAAGGGCCCATATTTATGTCCCAAATTAGAGGCTGACCTTCTGAACGGAGATTTGGTTAGTCTGGAGGGAATGGTGGGAAAAGGGCCCGGGTTAAACATAGAAGGGCACCAAAGCGGTTGGAATAAACAGCAAGTAGGTAACTCTTGCCTGCTTGTAAAACCATCTATTTCACATCTCTTTAGGGGGTAGCAGGTGAGGCGATGTTAAAATTGTGACTTAAACTCTATGGAAAGTAAACTAGTATATGAAACGGGAATACAAGTAAGACCAGTTTCTGCTTTTGTCCTTTCACATTTCACAACCGTTTATATGGTTTGGCAGAAGAAAACTTAATGGGTTCACTGCTTAAGTTTGAAAAATGCCATTTCAGGTTTACATGATCACTGTTGGAATTTTCTAAGGCTTTCTAGGCAAGGCTGTTTCAGCTGTGAATGAGAAATGTTGACGTCGTGCATATTTTCTGTAATAGTAACGTGACTCCTGCAGAATGTGATAAAAATTAAAAAGCGTGAAATAATGAGTTATTGTGAACTCTTTCATGTCTGAGAGATCAGATTCCTTGCCAGAAGGTTTAAGAAAACACACAAGTACAACCATGCTCATGCAATAGTGCTTTGTTTTAAGTAAGCAAATATTCCAGTAAGTAGTATGAGTATGTGGTATCCCTTTTTCCCCCCTGTGGCAAATGCAAGTTAGTATTAGAATGTAGCTACTGAGAGTAAATAAAAGCATTATTTATCAGTGCAGTTGGCATAATATCCAATAATGAATATGCTTCAAATTAAAGTGTTTTTGATATATTTGATGAATGACTTGAAACACTGAACCTCTGTGCTAGGTATTTCCATGCACTTTTTATTTTAACTGTCATTTTGATTTACACAAAATTTATTTCTCCGTTGCCTTTGATAAAGACTTTTAAAAATAAAACCCTAAATTGTTCCCTTTCATTACTAATCCCTTTCTTGCTAACTCTTTTGAAATCCTATTACATGCTTGGAGCCTGTAATCATTTGGATTTCTCCTTCTGTGTGCTGCTTGTTTCCCACAGTCGGTGAAAGGCCGGGAAAGCTGCGCACATCCAGCAGACGGCCCAGAAGCGAGGCCGGAGCGGGGCTTCCCGGCCACTTGCTCCTCACCTCCGGGGACTTCCAGGGTCTTCCTCGCCCCCCACCCCCTCCCCGCTTCGCCCCGAGGGCGTCACGTGGCGGCGTGGGGCCCGCCTCCGCTGACGTCACCGCGCTCGCAGCCGTCGCGCCGAAGAAAGGATGCTCTAGGATGCTGTGCAGGTGGGCGGCGGGGATGCGCCATGCGGCACTGCAGGTAAGAGACGCGCGGCGCCCACTCTGCCGGCGCAGCCCGGGCCTGCAGGCCTGTGGCCCGTCGGCGCCCCAGAAAGCGAAAGTGGGGGTCTTTGGCCGCTGCGGCTGCTGCATGCACCAGGCGGGGATGCCAGGGGTGGGGGGGGTGTTGCAGGCCCACGCGTGGCTTCGAGCTTGGCATGCCCATCCGGGAAAGTGGGCAGGGGCCAGACAGGAAGACCGCCGGGGCCTCTTGCTCAGGAGAGAAAAAAAAAATCTGGAATGAAGAGAGAAAGGGGCTCGTCAAAGATAACCGTTAACTGTTTTCTAGCTGTCATTGTGCTTCTTGAATAATGACACATTTACTAATTCTCCTTCCAGGGGTTTGTCCTCAGTATTTAGCCTGATTTCTTGTAAAGCAAAAGCTGCTTTGCTCTGAATGGAATGGAAACTTACTGGTTAGCAATTTAAAGAGCTCAATGTGCAATATAAATCGTTTTGCATTATTTTGCAAGGTTCCGGCGTTTAAAGGGGCTATGTCAGAAACGCATTTTTCCCCCTCCAGGTGTTTTAAGTAGATTGGAAAATAACAGTATCCAATAAAATAAAATGCAGCCTCCGAAGATTAACTGCGAGTGTAAGAGCGAATCAGCTACATCTCTGAAGAACAAAATGGTTTTTAGAAGGGGGTGGGGTGGAGATGAACGCCCGAACTGAAGAATTCCCAGTGTTCTTTTTAATTTCCGTGCTGAATAATTAGCCTGCTGGAAGAAGGGGCTTGATGACTCAGCGGCAGATGGAGGGGGGTCAGGTGACTTTTCAGTTCTGGCCGGTGGGGGGGCATTTAATGGACTCTGTTAAGCGTTCTGACCTGTTTACATGCCTTTCTCTGGTTCAAATAGGGCCTGAGGCCGGGACACGGGTGGGCACCCTTAGGAGGAGAATCTGTAAAACATGACCCCTCTGGAAGTTGGGGTGGCAGTAAACTGTACTGGAACTCACACCATGAATAATTTGATTCCCCAGCAACTGTTGGAGGACAGTGTTAAAAAGCAGTGCTATTTTAGTTGGTAATATAAAGGTTTTTTGTTCTTTTCCCCTTGACGGTGGGCTTACTGTCAGGCAGCCCAGATAGCTTTGGCTCTAAGAAGGGGATTATAGACTTCCTCTCTCTGCTTTATTTTCTAACCAAATTTCAGTTGATGTGCTCTGATGATTTATTTCACAGTAAGGTGAAGCTATAAAAACAATGGGGAATTCTCTTCCAACTTAGAACTTTATAAGACTGCCATTCAGAAGACATCAAGGAGAAAAGAGGATGTGAGCCCTGTTTAAAGAAAAACGGGGATGGAGATGGGGTGAAGTCAGCAAAGAAAAATGGGGATGGGGTGAAGTCAGTGAGACTTACCTTTGATTTTGCTAAAATCAAAATAATGTTTCTGTGAAATTCATGCTATGTCAGAAAATGAGCTGGCAAGATACTGAGACGTACCCTTGCATACTTTAGCCTAGAGATCCAAATGTCAGCATCATGTCTTTGTCCATACCCACGCCTATATACTTATATATCCACACATTCATGTTTCTGTCTCTACAGCTGTGTCTTTGTTACTGTAGTCTTTTTTTAAAATTGTGCTTATAGGGGCGCCTGGGTGGCTCAGTCGTTAAGCGGCTGCCTTCGGCTCGGGTCATGATCCCGGGGTCCTGGGATCGAGCCCCACATCGGGCTCCCGGCTCGGCGGGAAGCCTGCTTCTCCCTCTCCCGCTCCCCCTGCTTGTGTTCCCTCTCTCGCTGTGTGTCTCTCTGTCAAATAAATAAATAAATAAATAAATAAAATCTTTTTAAAAAATTGTGCTTATGTAAGAAAATGCCAAGCTATTTTCCAAGGTGGGTGTACCATTTTGCTTTTCTGCCAGCAATGTATGAGAATTTCAGTTGCTCAGGATCCTTGCCAGCACCTTGGTTTTGTTCTGTTTTTTTAATTTTAGCCATGCTCATAGGTATGTAGGGGTAATCTCTTTGTGTTTATCTTTTTTTAAGTGAATGAGTCTTACCATATGTAAATTATTCCCTTCCAGCCCCTTGGTTATTGTCAGTTTTCAAAAAAATTTTAACCATTCTGGTAGGTAGTTATGGTATCTCATTGTGGTTTTTTCTTCTTTTTAAATTTTTTAGTAATTTACTTATTTATTGTGTTTTGAGTCTGTTTCTCCCTGCTAGAATATGAAGTCCAGGAAGCCTGGGATTTGTGTATGTATTGTTCATTCCTCCATCTCCAGCACTGGGCGTGGTACTGGGAGTATTTAGTTACTGTTTAAGAAATCGGTCAATGTTTCGCAATTGCACACATCCTGAAGGCCTGCGAGAGCCACCTTGCTCACCCCAGAGGGGGTTAAACCATCAGCGGTGCCTCTGCTGTTCCCGCTGGTGGAGGAGTCAGGGACGAGCCGGATTTGGCAGCACGTTTCAGGCTGAAATCATTCTCAAGGAGCTAGCTAGCAATTTTCATTACCTAGCTGGTAACTGAGCTTCATTTTTCATTAATCATTTTCAAGTTCCTGGATCCAACCATGCTTGAAGCTTCAATTAAAAAAAAATTTATTTCTCCCACCCCCTACCCCTCTGCCTTTGGCAACCACCAGTCTGTTCTCTGTGAGCTTTTTTCCCCCTTCGATTCCATGTATAAGAGGGATCCTACAGTATTTGACTTTCTCTGTCTGCCTGACTTACTTCCCCTTAGCATAATGCCCTCGAGGTCCATCCATGTTGCAAATAGCAAGCTTTCGTTCATTCTTTTTTTTTTTTTTTTAAGATTTTATTTATTTATTTGACAGAGACACAGCGAGAGAGGGAACACAAGCACAAGGGGGAGTGGGGAAGGGAGAAACAGGCTTCCCGCAAAGCAGGGGAGCCCGATGCGGGGCTGGATCCCAGGACCCTGGGATCATGACCTAAGCCAAAGGCAGACGCTTAACGACTGAGCCACCCAGGCACCCCCATTCTTTCTTATGGCTGAATAATATTCCATTGTAAATATATACCACAGTTTCTTTATCCATTCATCCATCGACAGACACTTAGGTGGTTTCCCTGCCTTGGCTATTGTAAATAATGCTGCAATGAACATAGCGGTGTGAATGTCTTTTTCAGTTAGTGTTTTTGTTTTCTTCTGCTAAATACCCAGAAGTGGAATTGCTGGGTTGTATGGTAGTTCTATTTTTAGTTTTTTTGAGGAGCTTCCGTACTGTCTTCCACAGTGGGGGCACTAATTTTCATTCTTACCAACAGTGCATGAGGGGTCCCTTTTCTCCACATCCTTGCCAACGCTTATTATTTCTGGTCCTTTTGTTAATAGCCATTCTAACAGGTGTGCGGTGTTATTTAGTTGTGGCTTTGATTTGCATTTCCCTGATGATTAGTGATGTTGATCATCTTTGCATGTGCCCGTTGGCCATCTGCCTGTCTTCTTTGGAACAATGTCTATTTAGATCTTCTGCCCATTTTTTGATCAGATTTTTTTTTTCTGTTGAACTGTATTCTTTATATTTTGGATATTAGCTTCTTATCAGATAGATGCTTTGCAAATGTTTTCTCCCATTCAGTAGGTTGCCTTTTCATTCTGTAGATGAATTCTTTTGCTGTGTGGAGCTTTTTAATATGATGTAGTCCCACTTACTTATTTTTGGTTTTGTTTCTTTGACTTTTGGTGTCAGGTTCCAAAAATCATCGCCAAGACCTATGTCGAGGAGCTTATCGCCTAGGTTTTCTTCTAGGAGTTTTATGGTGTCAGGTCTAATGTTCAAGTCTTTAATCTATTTCGAATCAATTTTTGTATCCGGTGTAATTTTGTATATGGCATTTCTCACAAAGTCTGGACACCCTGATGTGTTGCTGCAGTAATTCAGCAATTTGTTTATTGCAATTTCCTTCATTTGGTTCAGGCTGGCCACAGGGATTAAGATCCTCGGGTCCCTTCCTTCCTTCTCCCTCATCCAGCCCTAGACAGAGCAGAACGGGTGATAGAGTTGGATGTAGAGACCTGGATTCTGCTCTGGCTTCCGGACTGTGTAACCTTGGGCACGTTACTTTGTGTCTTTGGGTCTCAATTTTCTCTTCCTCAAAGTAACCAAGAAATTTAGATCAGGGTTTCTCCGCCTCAGCACTGTTGACCTTTGGGGCTGATTCAATCTGTTGCGGGGGGCGGGGGGCGTCCTGCGCACTGTGGGAGGCTGGGCAGCATCCCTGGGCTCCATTCGCTAGGTGCCAGTAGCGCCCCTCTCCCAGCCGTGACAACCAGAATGTCTCTAGATGCTGCCACTTCTCCCTCTGGGGTAGGGAGCATTGCCCCTGGTCGAGAACGACTGATCTGGATGATCTCTAAAAGTTCTTCTGGCTTCAGTATTCTAGAATTCATTTTCTTATGATTTGTTTGACGCTAAGCCTTTGATCAGAGATCCGATTCCCTTTCATCACGTCTATATATCGGAAAATACAATGTGCAAACTTTTTTACGCTGTGGGGTTCCAGAAGTAGCTTCTGTCCGAAAGGGGAGGCCTGTTTGTGCGCCAGTTGTGGCTGGGAAGCCAGCTGGGCAGAGAGGAGAGTGCCAGGGAGAGGGGCCGCCCGGCCCAAGAGCAGCGTGCGCTGGCGCCTCCGGGGCGCCACTGTTTGGTCACCTGAGACCCCGGCACAGGCCTCCCAGCCCAGTCCCCTCCATAGCTGCACGAGGGGGTGGGCAGCGTGGCGCAGAGGTGGTGCCGGCAGCGACCGTGGTGAGAAGCTGGTGGTGGCGTCTCGGGTAGCTAGCATCAGGAGGCCGACGCCAACTGCCCGCGCAACCCAACGCCACCCGCCTCCCCGCTCCGCCCCGGGCAGCGTGCTCACCTGCTTCGAGCGTCTGGCTCTGACCCCGGAGGGCGGCTTTGTCTGCATCACTTCCCCTCTTGGAGCAGTTGCTGGGTCCATGACTTGGGGCCCTCGGTACTCGCTGATCCTGCCTCTTCCTTGGCTTTTGAGGGGGGATCGGAGGGGTGTCAGAGGATCTGCAAGCTGGAAGGCTCCCAAGAGACAGGGAGCAGTGATGGCAGTGGCATTGCAAGGTGTGGGCCGTGTGCAGCGCGGTTGGCCCTGGGAGGCTTAGAATGGCCGGGAGACACCCCCCCCCCCGCCATCCCCCGGGGCCTGGGACCGCCCTGTGCCCGTCCCCCCTCCCCCCCTTTGCCTTGCCGGCAGCCTTCTCTCTCACTCGTCCGGGCCCCATAAAAATCGGTCTCCGCGGGCGGTTTGGCCTGCAGTGTGAGAGAGCGGCTGTGCGGGAGGCCGGGCGGCCGGGTCCCCGCTCAGCCTGTCCCGGAGCCGGTCCCCCGCTCCCCCGTGCCTGACGGGGGGCTTGGCATCCTTGCTGGGCCTTCTGGCCCCGTCTCTGCTGCAAGTCCAAATCGTGAAAGAAGATTGAAAAAGGAGGGTATTCACCATCAAATGAGACTTAAGAGACTAAGTGTCCCAGTCCCCTCTGTTGCTGTGACAGAGACCAGAGACGGGGGGGGGGGGGGCCTCCCCAGCAGCCCTTGATTTCTCACAGCGCTGGAGGCCGGCAAGGTTGGCTTCCGGTGAGGTCCCTCTTCTGGGTCGCAGACGGCCACCTTCTCCTCGCCTCCTCACGCGGCAGGAAGAGACTGAATAGCTAGTTCTCTGGGGTCTCTTTTATAGGGCACTCGTCCCATCCCTAGGGCTCCGCCTTCAGGACCTGATCACCTCCCAGAGGCCCCGTCTCCAAACACCATCCCATTAGGGGGTCGGTTTCAACAGGTGAATTTTGGGAGGACACATTCAGTCCATGACAATAACGAGATGTAACTTGGAGCCCCTGATCGGGCCCTGGCCTGAACAAACATCTGTAATAGGCACTTGGGGACACCTGGGGTTATCTTTATGTGACCAGCTGTTAGATGATATAAGGAAACTACTGGAAGTTTCATTAGATGTGATAATCTTGTGGGGTGGTAGGCATCCAGCTAAGCCATTCCGAGATTCCTGACACAGAATCAGTGAGATAATGCATGTTTGTTTCCTGCTGCCATGTTTGGGGGGATGTGTTACACAGCAATAGGTAACTAACATGTGAGTATGTACAAGTCTTATTTATTTATTTATTTTTGGTGATGCACGCTGAAGTATTTAGGGATGAAGTGTCATGACGGTGACAAGTTACTGAAACTTTTTAAAAACATTTTTGGAGATCTCTTTAATGTATGGCTGAATACCAGACAGATGAATTCTCATCTCTGCTTCTACATTCAATCTGTAGCCTCTGGAAAATTCTACTGTACACTCACAAGAGAATGAGAATGAGAAAAAGGCAAATAACAATTTAAGATTATTATAAAAATATTTAAAAAATTTTTAAATATTTTATTTATTTATTTGAGAGGTTGGGGGCGGTGAGAGACAGAGGGAGAAGCAGGCTCCCGCCGAGCAGGGAACCCGTACGGGACTCGATCCCAGGACTCCAGGATCATGACCTGAGCCGAAGACACTACGCTTAACCAACTGAGCCACCCAGGCGCCCCTATAAAAATATTTTTGACAGTATGGATCCCTTAAAGGGTCTTGGGGACCCCAAGGTATCCCTGGATCACACTGTGAAAAACCACTGCTCTAGATAAATAATTTATTTGTAAATGGTTCAGTTAAACGGGGAGAGCAAAAGGTGAGGCAAATATGGCCAAATGGGAACACTTAACTGAATTTGATTGGTGTTGTTCATTGGACTCTCTGGATAATGTTCTGTGTATTTGAAAATGTCCATAATAACAAGTTTTTTTAACAAGATAGAAAAGGGGGCGGCGCCTGGGTGGCTCAGTTGGTTAAGCATCCAACTCTTGGTTTCGACTCAGGTCATGATCTCAGAGTCGTGAGATCGAGCTCTGCCTCGGGCTCCGCGCTCAGTGTGGAGTCGGCTTGAGATTCTCTCCCTCTGCCCCTCCCACCACTTGCACGTTCTCTCTCAAAAATAAATAAATAAAATTAATAAATAAAATCTTTTAAAAAAAGAAAAGAAATGTGGACTCTGGGACATGTGGGGATTCTGACTGGGTAGGTCTGGGGTGAGGCCCAGCGGGAGCATTTTTAACCTGAGCTCTAGGTGCCCCCGAAGGACCCGAGGCCCCACCTGAAGCCTGCTGGTGCAGCGGTTCCCAGCACACCACCTCTCCTCCACCCCTCCACCCTCCCGAGGCAGATCGAGTGGTGTTAGTTCACGGCGAGGCTTATCCGTTTTCCCCCCACCCGTGGGGGCAGGTGTTGGGGGACAGTCTGCCCCCCCACTCTCCCTCAGCAGGTGCTGCCGTGCTGGCTGCGGGGAGAACTTGTTATCAAACGGTTGCTTAACCACCCTTTCAGTGGACGGCCGAGATAAACCTTCCTTTCTAAGGGCAGGAGTGGGTTTCCTTCACAGATCGTGAGGAGTATTTTTGAATGACTCGTTTTCCGTGTTACATACACCTAGTGAGAGTTTCCGGCAGGATCAAAGTTATGGAAAGAAATCGAAGCTTTCTTCGCATTCCCAGTCCCCGGGGCCTCGCCACTGCTAACTTGCATGGGATATGGTTTCTGAAAATGTGCAAATACACCCATCTCTAGGATGTATATAGTGCTTTGTTGGTTTGCTTTATTGGGATGTAATTTGCGTGGAGCAAAATGCATGGATTTTTAATTCAGGTGGTTTTGACAGAGAATATTCCCAGCACCCCCAGAGGGCCCCATCTCACCCTCGTTTAGCCAAACCTTCTGGCAGAGGCAGCCGCTAGTCTGATTTGTGTCAGCACAGTTTACTTTTGCCTGTTCTTGAACTTCATACACATGGGAATCCTATGATATGTCCGCTTTCATATCTGGCTGCAAAGATGTTTCCCTGAGATATGAGCCTCAATATTCATTCATGCATTCACTCCCTCATTTACTTCCTTGTTCAGCGAATATTTGTTGGATCCCTGCTATGTGTCTAGGCCTGGATTTTTCTAGGCCCTGAGGGTTCAGGGCTGAGGGAACAGCCTGTGCAGAGGGCCTGAGGCAAGGCATTTGAAGAACAGCAAGGAGGTCGGCAGGTCCAGAGAAGAGCAGCCCAGAGATCACATGGTGGGAAAGGTGTCCTGAGGGGTGGCCAGGGCCGACCATGCAGGGACATGGCAGGAGGGGCACCCATCCTGGATTATTCTGAGTGTGCTGGAAAGCTGCTGGATGCTTTCGGCTGTGGGAGTGACACGCGGGGACGTGCATTTGAAAGGGTGACTCTGGCTGTCGTAAGAAGAGTCAGAGGTGTGCAAGAGAGAAAGCGGGGTGGCCGGCGAGGAGGCTGGGATGGTGGCCAGGTGACCAGTGACCTGGGTGACCACATGAGCTGGCCCAGGCCTCTGACTTACTTCGCAGCACTGTCGCCGGTCCTTCCCTCCGGGCAGACTCACACTGCATCTCACTCACCGAGGCTCTTGCTTGCTGTCGGGCAGGTCTTGGTGCCGTTCTTGAGAGCAGAGAGCCTGGTCGTCGGTTGCGTTGGAAGTTTGAGACCCGAGCCTTCACTGTCAGAGGGGACCGTGAGCCCTCCTGAAGTCCTATGGAGGCCCTTGACCTTCTGAGGACGGTGTCCGGCTCGCTGCCGTAAGCAGCGGCTCGGAGGCCCGGGGCGGCGTGGGGTTTGGCTGGAGGGAGAATCGCATGCACCTGCTGCATTCTGTTCATCCGCTTGGGAAGTCCGCCCCTCGCCCGGCGGCCCGGCACCTGCCGGCTCCTTTCTCAGGGCTGAGGCCGCCTCCCCTGTGCCCGCCTGGCACTTCTTACTCTGTCTCCCTGTGGGTTGGCTCTGTTGCCCTGTCTCTTGGTTCTTCGTGTCTCTCCCGCCTCACTGTGAAACATTTTTCCTCCCTCCCTGGTACCCCTTGGAGGCGCTGCTTGGTTGGGAGGGCTTTGTGGTGAGTAGATAGGAGGGCCAACCGCAGAGATGACAGACGAGCTATTTTTCCTCTTTGCTTAGTCATGCCTTCCACCAGCACCCCTTTTGTCCAGAACCTTCGAATGGACCACGTGTCAGCCCTCACCTTGATAACCCAGTTAAGCCAGCCGGTGGCCTTGTTCTGAGAGCTCCAGGAGGAACACCCCAAAGCCGCGTTCGATGACCGCCTGCATTTAGCCTTTACAGAGATCTCGAGTGTCTGCTTAAATTTTATTTATACCCCACATAAGCAGAAAATGGGTTGTTGTGGAGGAAAGGGTCAATGGAAGTTCCGTCTGAAAAGGTCCCCAGAGCGGGAGGGGCCCAGAGTGCTCTTTCCCACCAGCATTGTCTTCAGCAACTGAATCGTGGCCCTCAGAATTCATACGTTGGGGTCCCACCGGGACCTCCGAGGGCAACCTACTTCGGAAATAGGGTCTGTATAGAGGTAATCAAGTTGAAATGAGGTCATTAAGGTCGCTGTCCTCCAGCATGGCCGCGGTCCCGGTAAGACATGGAGAGAAGGCAGCGTGAAGGGGCGTGGGAAGAAGACCGCCCTCTACAAGCCCAGGACAGGCTGGGACAGGTTCGCCCTCGGCGCCCTGGGAAGGAAGCGACCCCGCCGTCCCTTTGGTCTCCGACTTCTGGCCCCCAGAGCTGTGGCACAGTACATTTCTGTTACTTGAGCCGAGCAGTCTGGGGCCGTTTGTTCGGGCAGCCCTAGGGGACTAGCATGGCAGCATTTTCACAGGTCAGAGGGTAGCCCGGCGCCTTTGCCTTCCCGTTAGCTCCGCATAAGCTCCGCACAGTCCAGGCGAGGAGCGGCCAGCAGCGCCCCGTCAATGGAGGCAGGTAGCTCTCAGGCCCGGAGAGGACCAAGGCCTGCTAGGCTGTTGGGGAGGAAGGGCCCTCGGGGCCTGGGCTCGAATCTGGCTCCCCACTCACCTTCTGTGCGACCTGTACCTGTGACCGAACGTCTCCTCTGCCTCAGTTTGCTTATCTGTGGCGTGGGCCTGAGGGTGACAGTATTTAATGCAGAGAATGTCGAGAGCCCGAGCGACTGAGTATATGTGAAGTGCTAAAAATGGTGCCTGGCACACGGAGTCCTATGAAAAGTTGTCCTTGGGGCGCCTGGGTGGCTCAGTCGTTAAGCGTCTGCCTTCGGCTCAGGTCATGGTCCCGGGGTCCTGGGATCGGGCTCCCCGCTCGGCAGGAAGCCTGCTTCTCCCTCTCCCACTCCCCCTGCTTGTGTTCCCTCTCTCAGTGTGTTTCTCTCTGTGAAATAAATAAAATCTTTAAAAAGTTCTTATTGTGTGGAGGAGTCTCTGGGGAGACTCTCATTCCTTGGCCCTTGACACCAGGAACACAGAGACTCGGGCCTCCCCTCCCTGCCTCTGCGGTGGGGATGTCAGAACCTCAGTCTGTTGTGTCACTTGAGGCCACATGCAGTTGGCCTCATCCCCTTTCCAACACGCAGGCTGTGTTCCCAATCGTGACAAACAGCTGTGTGGCCCTGGGGCCGTCGGAGGCGTGCCGTGGAGGGAGGGTCACGGTCCCGCACCAGCTCCCCAGTCCTGTGCAAGGCAAGCGCTAACTGAAGGCGTGCGATGTGCTAGGAGCTCCGAGGCGGGCCAAGGAGGAAGGAGGAAGCAGGGAGGGAAGGAGGAGGCGGGGAGGAGGCCCTCCCCTGTCTCTTTTGGCTCCAGGCAAAGGTTAATTTTCAGTCTTTCTGCCTGTCCTTTGGCTCTGAGCTTCCTTCTCTTTGGGACTCTCATTGGACCTGTGGCCCTTGGCCCCTTGCCACATGGCCACCAGGGGGCTCCTCTGTCAGTGCCTCTGGGGAACCCAGTCTGGAGGATCGGCTGGAAGGAGCGAATGAATCATGGCCCCTCATCTAAAGGTGTCTGCGTTTTAAAAAAGCGAGAGTCCGTGATCTCAAATGAATTTGAAATTGGTGTGGTTTCAGGCAAGGTGGAGAGGTGAGATGAAAAGCTTTTTTTTTTTTTTAAGATTTTATTTATTTATTTGAGAGAGAGAGAGAGAGAGAGCGCACATGAGAGGGGGGAGGGTCAGAGGGAGAAGCAGACTCCCCGCTGAGCAGGGAGCCCGATGCGGGACTCGATCCCGGGACCCCGGGATCATGACCTGAGCCGAAGGCAGTCGCCCAACCGACTGAGCCACCCGGGAGCCCAGGATGAAAAGCTTTGACTGGTGTGGGAGCCAGCCTCCAAAGTGGGCCCCAGTGACCCCGTGTCCTGGTGCTCAGGCCCGCATGCGGTCTCCTCCCACTCTGGTCACTCGGGGCTGACCTGTGCGGCCAGCAGGGGACCGTCCCAGTGACGCCGGAGGCCTTCCACGGCTGTGGGTCACAGGGCACTCTACTGCCTCCTCCTTGCTCCCTCGGATCAGCTGCTTTGGAGGAAGCCAGCTGCCCCGTCCTAAGGACGCTCTAGCAGTCTTGCCGAGCTGCAGGAGGGAGCGGCCCTGAGGCTTCCCAGCAGCAGCGAGCACGGACTTGCTAGCCCCGTCCGCGGGCCAGCTTGTGAGTGTGTCCTCTTGATTCCATCGGCTGCAGCCAGAAGGACCCAACCAGGGGCGCCCGGGGGGGCTCGGTCGGTGAAGCGTCTGCCTTCGGCTCAGGTCATGATCCCAGGGTCCTGGGATGGAGCCCTGCTCAATGGGGAGTCTGCTTCTCCCTCTCCCTCTGCCTCGCTCCCCTGCTCGTGTTCTCTCTCTCTCTCTCTCAAATAATGAATAAAATCTTAAAAAAAAAAAAAAAAAAAAAGAAGGACCCAGTCAAGCTGCTTCTGAATTTCTGACCCACAGAAACTGGAAAAATCATACGTGTTTATTGTTTGAAGCTGCTAAGCTCTGGGGTAATTTGTTTCCCAGCACTGGAGAGCGGATACAATGGTAAGAACCCAAACTTCTGTGGGAGGGGGCCTAGCGCTGGCCGCTCCTTGGGTCAGCCCCCAGGCTGTGGCCGCCTCCCTCTTGCCCCTTCTGAAGCTCCACCCTTCTCTCATTGCTCCCTCTTTGTTCGTGCTGTGGTCTCTCTCCCTCTGTCCCTCCCTTCTTCCCCCTCTCCCACCCTCTATCCGGTGAGCTTCATGCAAGGTTTAGGTGTATTCATTGTAAGTTGGGGGGTGTTGATGATGAGTTTGAGTGTGTTGGTTTTTTTCGTTTTCCACAATGTATATGCCCGTATTCATCTGCATCGCCTGGAGACTTCGTGCAATAACCCCCAGATGCCAGTGGGGATTGGACGTCTGGCTGTCACTGCGAGCACCCGGCATTTGCCGATGAAGGATGTGGCCATCTCCCCTTTACCTCGTGCGCGGGGGAAACGTATCCTGACCTGTCCATGCAGCGTGGAGCCCATATCCTCTGCCCGCTGCACGGCGGGTCGGCCCAACCCCAGGGCCTTTGCTTTGTCAGATGGTTCAGACTTTTCACGTGAATTATTTCGGTGGGAGGTCATTTTTGTAAGAGCTGATGTGATAGATATTTCAAGAGAAAAGAAGGTACATCACCGGCACATCAAGGAAGTGTCGTAGCGTGCCAACTACAGGTCTACCTTCGGTAAAGTGAGGCAGTGTGACTCAATTCTTGTTGCCCTTCAGTAAAGTTTGCCCTGAAATACATGTGCAGAAAAGTGTGTAGAGCCGAAATGCACAGCTTGCTGAGTTTTCACCCAGTGAACACACCTGGGTACCCAGGGCCCAAAAGAACTGGAACATGACCAGTCCCCAGAAGCCACCTGCAGGTCCCCTTCTTCGTCACTTCCCAGCCCAAGGGCATCTGCTACTACAGATTCGTTGTGCTCGTTGGAACTTTATATTAGTGGACTTGTGTGTATCCCTTCATGTCTGGCTTTCGTGCGACGTTAGGGTTGCAAGCTTCATCCTTGTTCAGTGCGTGTAGCGCTACGTTGTTCGGCCTCACAGTTGGATGTAGCTGAAGAGTTTTCTCTGTACCGGGTGTCTTGTTTCTTTTGCTGCTTTTAGGATACCCTCCTTTTCACTGGTCTTAACAATTTGAATATGATATGCCTTGGTGTGGTCTGGTTTGCTTTTTTATTTACTTCTGCGGCTTGGGGTTTGCTGAGCTTCTTGTGTCTGGGATTGTAGTCTAATAGTTGAAATCTTTGTGTAGAACTGGAATGGCTACAGGGCGCCTGGGTGGCCCAGTCGTTAAGCGTCTGCCTTCGGCTCAGGTCATGATCCCGGGGTGCTGGGACCGAGCTCCGCATCGGGCTCCCTGCTCCGCGGGAAGCCTGCTTCTCCCTCTCCCGCTCCCCCTGCTTGTGTTCCCTGTCTCGCTGTGTCTCTCTCTGTCAAATAAATAAAAATCTTTATTAAAAAAAAAAAAAGAACTGGAACGGCTATAGCAAATGTCCTGGCCAGCTAATCAAAATTTATTCCAGAGAAACGTCTTGAGAGAGTTTAAAGGGAGTTTTCAACCCATGTCCCTATCACCTCCTCCACTTGGATAAGAATGGCGAGGAAGGGTTTGCCTAAAGGAAGGGTCGGCTCCGCTCGTGGTGCTTTTAGCCACTACACTGGGTTCAAAGTCCGCTCCCCAGGCCCCAGGGATTCGGTGTCAAATGCCTGTGGTTGGGCATCAGCCAGGCCACGGGGCAGCTGCACTGGGGGAGGAGATCTGTCTACATATTTGTCAGCTCAACTTTTTCCACGTGTGAAAAATAATAAAGGAAAATCAAGACGAATCGAGCAGTTAGGAGAAAAACCTACAAACCTAGTAGGGAAAGCTCGTCATGCTCTTCAGACTTGCGTTGTTATAAATCATAAAACTGTGGGATGGTGCGTGTGAAAGGTGACATATAGTCAAAGAAACGTTTTAAAGCCACTCGCATTTTACATGTGTAGTGACTTCAGCTTGGTTTATA